TATATACCATACTGGCAGTGTCACCAGTGGAGACAGCCCCAATGGAAACACTCTCCACACCTAGCTCCCCACAGATTCTCTAGTAACCTGATCCTGCAAATACACAGGGCAGAGGATGCACAAGAGAAAAATCTGTTTACCTTAAAAAGACATCTTCCACTTTCATTAACATCTCATACAGTGCTCACCATTTTATTTGTGCTCACATAACCTTATTCCTAGGCTCTAAAATGAATCATTTCAGGGTCAAATGGTTATAGCCCTTCCACCAATGGCAGGGAAATTCATATTTCATATACAAATGGTACTGATGCAAAGGATACCCTAAGAAAGAAGTGAATCTTTCCCAACTGATCTGTGCTCACTTCACCCACCACTGCTTACCCCCAAAAAATGGGGGAGAAAAAAATTCTTAAAGGTGGATGCTTTATATGTAGGCGAATATAGAACATGAGATTCTGCAAAGATGAAAATGTTTTTAGCAGCACACGAAGGCCAATGATTAGCTCATAACCCATCTAAAGGCATGTGTAAGGTTTACCTGAAAATGGATGGTTTATTTCTGCTTTTCCATTGGTGAATATACCAGGGTACTAAGCTTAAATTTAAAAGGTGCCGGATAAGCTGGGACAAAGTGAGAGAGTGGCATGGACATATATACACTACCAAATGTAAAATAGATAGCTAGTGGGAAGCAGCCACAAGGCACAGGGAGATCAGCTCGGTGCTTTGTGACCACCTAGAGGGGTGGGATAGGGAGGGTGGGAGGGAGATGCAAGACGGAGGGGATATGGGGATATATACATACATATAGCTGATTCACTTTGTTATACAGCAGAAACTAACACAACATTGTAAAGCAATTATATGCCAATAAAGATGTTAAAAAAAAAAAAGATAGGTAGATTGAAAAAGCCTAGGTGGTAAAGCAGTTTTAAGAGGCTTAAAAATATCTAATTTATCTTAAAATTTTTTGTAATATCGATTCTAACCGATTCTCTCTTTAAGAAATTATTTCTCATAGAATATAAGTTTTGCACTATAGTCAATAGTTTCTGTTCTTACTATAAAACATTCACATATGAGTAGTACAGCTGTACAATTAGTAGGCTTCTCGTACATTTTAATATAGCAGCCAATTCAAACTCATTTATTAACATTATTAAAATGATTTTAAATTAAGCATAGGTAACTTTGGTTTAAATAAAGGGCATACATGGTGGTTACATTTATTTTCAATTATGTAGTAATTCTGGAACTTAGGCACTGTGTCTGTACAATTTGTATTTTCTTATTATAATAGATTTCATCCCACTTGGCATACAGAGAAAATAGAATTTTCTATAGACTGGAGTAACTCCCTAGAAGCCTGTTTTGGATTCATAGAATATTTGGTTTAGGCAGAAAGAAAATACACACAACATGTTCATTTGAAAATGACTAGTCACACTTGGTATTGCTCTAAAGGTAAATATAATCAAGATATAAAGACATTTCTGGACCCGATTATTTTATTAAAATGTATAATCTTCTGTGATGTGTTTCTTCTGGTTCATACTATTATATAATGATTTTACTTAAAAATAAAAATGTTTTTCTTTTATTAAAAAAAGAAAAAGTGCCATGGTAGGAAGAAACACTAGAGTACAGAAGCAAACAAAGCCAGAGAGGTTGGGCTGACCTGGTAACTTGCTACCCATCAAACGCCAGTTAGGAATTTCCAGAGAGTAGAGAATCTATGCTACTTACAAGGCTTCAATTCTAAACCTAAATTGTGCTGAATTTCAGAATCTCCTTCTAGATGGAAAAGAAAAAACAACAACAAAGGTTTCCAGACCTCGGGTGTTTAAAGGGCCTTCACACAGTAAATCAACCTACTGCTGTCCTTGTTTTCTCCACAGCCAGACTGAAATAATACAGTGTCAGCAGAGGTGTGAATTACCTCCATTCACCTTAATGGAGTGTTAACTTCAAAGGCTTGTTTTAACCATTTAAATGCTAAGCTCATGAGTAACATTCTGTTAAAAAAAAAAGTACAATTTAAACATTCACCCTCAACATATGAAAGTAATTTATATTCTCAGCACTTCATCTTCTAATTTAGCAAACAAGTCTCCAAGTGTTAGAAAAATATAGATTTTGTGCTTTACTTAGTTTTATTTTAAATAGTTATTACCTAATAAATTATGAACATTAAGCCCACAATAAGAAGGCCTGTATTTCCCAGGAAAAATGCTGAGGAGTACTTGAACAAGGTTTTATTCGAAATCCTGATGAAGGGGGCACTGCTTTTACCAGTCATCTTACTAGCTTCCTCCAAACTCATAGGGAAAGTTATGACTCCAAACAGGCAACTAGATAAGGCAGAATATTAAAGTAAAATAAAAATAAACACCTCTCCAAATAATTTCTTTTGATATTAACTAAGTTTCATGCAGCGTTCAATAGGTTTGCCAAACCTCCCATGATCCCATCCCACGAGCAGGTGACAAATGTATTAATTGATGCCCACCTGTCATCACACTTAACATCTGCCCCAGGAGGCATCCTTGCATCTGTTGCAGATTTAGGGCTATTTTGGTATTAGGAGTTAGATTTATTTTAGCAGCTGAACACCTATTTGTATTTGGATCTATAATTTCCCATAGAAATGTGGGAAAGCACTAAAAAGAATGCACATGGGGCCAGTTCTCCTGTGAGTGAAGGCTAGAAAACGATTCTAAACATATTAGTTGTGCAAGATGGAAGATGAAGAAATTCCATGTCCTTGTCTGAAAGCAACTTCATTTTACAGGTCTAGATGAAAGGATGGGGAAAAAAAGGGGATAAACATCTAATTTATTAAGAGCGCCTATTTTGGTCGGCCCCTAATTTATGCAAGGTCATTTAATCCTCTCAACACAACCCTGTATAATTGGTATTAACTCCATTTAATACCTATGTGAAAGTAGAGGTTTAGAGAGGTTAAGTGGTTTGCCTAAATTCACTGAGATTTTCATCTAAGTCTTTCTAACCCCCAAACCTGGACCTTTTCCATTACACTATGCTGATCTCAAGTTGCCAAAGAGGAAACTTAACTCAGTTGTCAATTTTTCAGCCCATTTCCTAAGTGGGAAGCAAGGGGGCACCAGCAAAAGTGTGCATTTCCATACATGCAAATTGGCACTTTGCATGTAATTCTCTACTTTACATGTGTGCAGGGGTAGGATTACATTTTTACTGATACACCCTGGCTTTGGTAGGCTGCTAACAAGGTGCCCTTTACAAGAATACTCCCTGGGGCAGTAGGGGAGGGAGGCACCTAGCTCCTGGTTTCCAACCAGGAATAAGCCACATCAATGCGAAGACTGGAACGATCTATAACCTCCAAACAAAGTATGATATAAATCATCAATATTTGTCTCTGTTCGCCAAGTAGAAAGTCACATGTTTTAGTGACAAATGAGAAAGCTCAGAGAACTTTCAAATCCACAGCCAGTCATCACAGCTCTATCTCATACTGCACGACAGAGGAAAATCACAAAAGTTTCTTAGGATTTGGAGTCAGGGCAAAATACCAAGTGAAATAATCCAACAGTTTTGTTATTGGTGACTGATGTTGACATTAACCTACGAACTAAAATTCAATTTTGTATATAAACAATATACTGATTTCTTTAAAAACAAAAAATTGTCTCAATATATTTAATAACATTAAAAACTTCTTTGTGAAAGATGTTGTTAAGAGAATGAAAAGGCAACTCACAGACTGGGAGAAAATCTTTGTGAAACACATATCTGATAAAGGATTGGTGTCTAAAATATACAAAGAATGCTTAAAACTCAACAATGTAAAAACAGCTCAATTTTAAAAATCTGAACCTCACCATAGAACATATACAGATGGCAAATAAACATGTGAAAAGATGCTCAACATCATATGTCAATAGGGAAATACAAATTAAAACAACGAGATACAACTGCACACCCATTAGAATGGTGAAAATCCCAAACACTGACAACACCCAATGTCGGCAAGGATGTGGAACAACAGGAACTCTCACCCATTGCTGGCAGGACTGCAAAATGTTACAGCCACTTTGGAAGGCAGTTGGGCAGTTTCTTATAAGACTAAATATTCTACCATACCATGCAGCAATTGCTAAAAAATAGTCTTTGGTATTAACCCAAATAAGCTGAAAATTTCTGTCCACACAAAAGTCTGCATACAAATGTTTGTAGCAGCTTTATTCACAAATGCCAAAATTTGGAAGCAAACAAGAGGTCATTCAACAGGTGAATGGAAAAACAAACTGTGGTACAGCCATACAATGGAATACTGTCAGTGAAACAAACTGTGGTACATCCATACAATGGAATATTGTCAGTGATTAAAAAAAAAGAGCTATCAAGCTATGAAAAGACACGGAGGAAACTTAAACGCACATTGCTAAGTGAAAGGTTAGATACTATATGATTCCACCAAATGACATTTTAGAAAAGGCTCATGGGGAATGCTCATGGCGTTTATGGAGACAGTAAAAAGATCAGTGGTTGCATCAAAAGTGAACCCTACTGTAAACTATGAACTTCAGTTAATAGTAATGTATCAAAGTTGGCTCATCAAGTATAACAAATGTACTTCACTAATGCAAGATGTTAGTAATGTGGGACACTATGGGTGTGCTGGAATGAGGGAATATATGAGAACTCTCTGTACTTTCTGTTCAATTATTTCTGTAAACATTAAAACTACCCTAAAAAATAAAGTCTGTTAATTAAAAAAAAAACCACAAACAAAAGATGCTCAACATATTTAAGAGCATTCTGAGTTTCTTATTTTGATTAAAACTGCTATGTCTACTTTCCCCTACCGACTCCTGTTTTGTTCCGCTTTTCTGTCAATGTTTGCAAAACTGTTAGGCCATATAAAGAGGATTCATCCAAGGTGCCTTCCAGAATAATTCCTTTTTGCATTTGGAGGTAAATTATTCAGCAAAAGACGTGGGAAAATATTTCTTTCACTTATTAATCCAATTAAAAATAATGAGTGCTAAACTAAAATTACCAACCAAAATACCAAAGATGAGCAAAACAAACGCCTGTGGAAATAAGGAAAAAAGATAAAGAACAATTAGAGCATTATTTTAAACCTTCACGTGCTCCAATAATGTACATTATAGTTCAAAATACATTAACTTTCGTAAGGTAGGTAAAATACTTAATTATAAAATGACAAGTTATTTCTTAAAATAAGATTCTTAAAAGAAACAAACAAAAATCAACCTACCCCAAACATTTCCATGAGAGAAAATCCTCTCTGCTCAGTTTAAGATAAAACAGTCCCGGGAACACAAAAATCAAACATGTTGATGTACTGGAACCTTAAAGTGGGGAGGAAAAGAAAATAATATTGCCAGATTCAGATGTGAGACTGGATGACAATTTAATCTATTTTAGAAAATGGAATTTTTGAAATAGAAAACTTACCAACTACACCAAGTACATTCCTAATGTCAGGAACATATATCGCAAGTAAAACAATGATAATACTGAGAGCTATAGCGATCAAAGAATGGCGAATCCATGAGAATGGAAAATTGGAGAAAAACATCATCATTAAAGCTTTCCTTGCCTGTATAACAGAAAAAGATTTAAGCAAAGAGGAGGTAACAAAGCCAAACTACTTGCTTAGGGAAACACATGTATGGTACAGTTACCATAATATTCTTGCCCTCTAAACCATTTAGATTCCAAAAATATGGCATAAACTATTACTGTAAGGTATTTATTGCACAAAAACTAAGAAATATACCTATCTGTGTGAGCTTCATAACAACTGTTTTGGTTTTATTCTTGAAAAAATTTTCACATGCAATTTCTTTCAGTTGTATAATTTTCAAAATTACCAACAATAACACTTTGTGAAGAAATCACAGAGTATCATTTTCATGAAATTCAACAGATAAAAGAACAAATGGTTTAAAACAGAAAAAGAAGTCATGGCATGATAAAGAAATACCATTTGCTGTTTTATGTTATATTATCTGTTTCACAGCATGTAAATGTGAAAACTAGTTCATGATGCTCTCTACTGCTAAGGCGGGCAACAGGCAGTCCCATCCCACAAGCATTTACCCAGCCCCCGCTGCAGTGGCCCCAGTCTTAAGGAGCTCCCCGTTCAGGGGCTCAAGTCGTCCACTAGAAGCATCTGTACCCAAAGCCTATGATTCCATTCTTCCAGAAATTCTCAAGAGTCTTACATATGGCAACTAAATGCCGAGTGATGATCTGCTGTGCCCCTTAAACTATAACTCTAGAGCAAATAAAATCTGTGACTAAGATTAGACTAGAACGTCTATGTGAAAATAAATTTCCAATAAACTAGAAGGAGCTTATTTTTGCTGACTTGACTTTTTCCTCTTCACGCACATTCTTTGGAAAACAGAATACAGAATTAAAGGGGGAAAAAAAACCCAAAAAACTTTAGAAGAACTATAGTCTCTAAATTGGAAACAATGCTGTGGGAGAGCGTAAATCTAAACTAAATCTGAAAAAGCACAAATTAGTTTAGCGGTTCACTGTTATTTTTGTGCTTTCATGGGGCCACAGGCAAGTATGAGGTCTTTGATCAATTACTGGACAAATGAATAAGATATACAAGACTAGATGTGATTCAAACATTCTAGTCTGTAAAGAATTAGTGTTGCCATATTAGGGAGCTGCTACACCAAGCAACAAAACCTTTAAGAGTACTTACAGGGAAGTGGATTAGAGGGACTGTCAAAAGCACAGCAAATAGTATGCATAACTTCACAGTCATGACGACAACATCATGTGGCAAGTATTTACTATAACCTTGTAGTAATTCTGACGCCACACTGTCTGCAAATTTAAAAAACAATAATAAGGATCACATTATAAACTACTAAGATGTTAATAACAGTAACATTATTTTCCTTTGCACAAACGGATCTTAACAGATTTTGGATTCCCAGTACCAAATCCATCTCTGGCCTTTTTCCTATCCTATGAAACACAGAGACATTAAGTAAATATCTTCTGGAAACCTACAGTGTTTTCTTTTAATGAAACTAGAAATAGGCCCAGGCAGAATCTCTAAAATTATGACAATGAATATACATTTAAGAAAATCTCTTTAGAACTTTTCCATAATCTGAAGGTTTTGAACAACACTTTTATAAAGTGCTTTCATGTATACTACTGAATTTGGTCCTTATGATAACAATATAAGATAGGTAGCTAGGCTAAAAATTTATTAACTGACTTGCCCAAGATCATACAGTACAAAGGGGCAGAGCTGGCAGAGCTGTACTCCCAAATTGTTTTGACGCAAAAGCCTTTCCTTAATATTGCAATGTTTTCTAGGATCTTATAGTTTTGTGCATGCTACCTGCTTCATCAACATTTCATCTATAGATTCATCTTTCATAAAAGAGAATGCAGTGTTAGGGTAATGGCTTCCTTAGCAAGCAAGTGTGGTAGTCAGTGACAGAATCTGAACAAGCTGACCATGCTTTGCTCCCTGGTGTTCTTCTATCCTCACGTCTTCCTCACTCCAAGCTAGAGGAGGGCTATTAAGAGTGAGAGTTCTCAAGAACACTCCATATCACTGCCTCGTAGGGAAAGATGAGTTTGTACTTAAAATAGAATTGTGGTTTTGTTGTTGTTGTTTTTTGTTTTTTTAATTTGAGACTATACGGTTTGGAAAAGTCACTTTGGAGAAAATAAAAAAACAAATCAAATACACCTCTGTTTTCAAATACTTTAAAATTTAAAGGGGAGATAAGATGAAGACACACATATAATAGAAAGTGTGTAAACACAGACACACTTAAGTGGAAGAAGAAGGTCTAAACAAAGAGCTATGGTGATTCTGAACAGGGAAAGATAACTATGGCTTTGGGATGAACATGAACAAAATCCAAGAAGACTTGAGAAGAGTCATCATGATATAGTGAGCAGCAGGGTAGTAGAGGGGCTTGAATTCTGCGATCAAACAGACTAAGATTCAAATCCTACTCTTACTAGCAACTTAACTTCTCTGAGTTTTTACATTTGTAAAATGTGGACAATAATATATTGACCTACAGAGTTACTGTGAACATGACATGAGTTAATGTATGTGTGCTGACATTCAAAGATGTGGGGAAGAAATTCTCTCTGGTAGCAATACGCAACCAAGAAAATGAGCAGCCCAATAGCACTTCAGAGGCTGAAAGACTGTGTGGTAGAGAAAAGAGAGTAGTGGGTGATAAGGCTGGAAATGCATTTAAGACCAGTAACAGAGCTCTTCTTAGGGTCTGGACTCAATCTGGTAGGCCACAGAGATGCAATGACTTCTGAAGAACAGTGCATTATGACCTGAACTAAGCAGGAAGACAGATTGGAAGAAAAAGAGGCCCAAAACAGGAATAACAGAAGGCTACTGTCATAACACTGAGAGGTAATGAGGATTTGAACTAGATTAGTAATAATGGAAATGGGATAGAAACTAATTGTTGAAAGTATCAAAGACATACTTGATATAACGTGGGACTAATGGACCAAATAAGAGATTAAGAAGAGCCAGGAAAGCTGGATTCTAGTCCCAAATATGTGAGATACTTGTGACTCTTTGGAAAAATATAGCAAACTATTTTATTTCCACTTTCTGAATCATAAAAATGAGCTATTAACACTTACTGCTTAAGAACTTTGTAGACTTTTAAAGTGGTCTGGTTATTATGCAACATTTGGGTATTGGCCTGGTTTATCAGAGGAACACTTTTTATTCCTCACCTTATAATGCTTTAACATCTGTAATCAGAGCCAATATTATTAATCTAGGTACATACTTATTGGTCCCTTTAATCTGATAAAATTTAGATATTAACTAAGCCTTGAGAGCACTGAATGAAAGGATCCCAAGCAGCTCCAGAAGCCTGAAGAACTAGATTGATTACAAATTCAAAATACCTGTTACATGTCTACTTTCTACTTTCCCAAGACAAAAACCTTTTTCCTGAGCCAGTCAATTCTGTGTTCCTAGCTGAGCCTTATGCAAGGGATAGAGTACAACACACTTCTCTGCATTCAGACAAATCTCTACAAATCTCAGGAAGAACCTGATGGTGATCTCTGCAAGTTACATCTTCTCTTGAAGTCAGGAGGCTGCCTTGTTTAATACACACTGTCAAACAGGGGATGAAGTTTATAAAGATTATCACAGAGTAACAGAAATATCACTGGATTAATATTCAGGAGACATGCCACTAATTGTGAGACAGGTCACTTCACCTCTTGGACTTAAGCTACTCACCTATAAAATGAGTCGAAGGCGTTAATTTGTGACAAGCCCTTCTGATAAGGTCTCAAGCTCAATCAGCAATTTCTTTCTGTAAGACTGAGAGCTACTGCTATTCCAATAGAAATATACTGTAAAAGACTTTCAACCCAAAAAAGAAACACTGTGAATAGCAAATCAATATCTGAATCTTCTTCTGTCTTTGGAGAAGGAACTTTTATATCATTCTTTCTTTCTTTCTTTCTTTCTTTCTTTCCTTCTATCTATCTATCTATCTATCTATCTATCTATCTATCTATCTATCACCTACTTACCAGCCTACCATGTGATTTTCTTAGATCTGTATATCTCCATTACATAAAGCGTGGATATTCTAAAGAATCTGCATCAGTGGAAAAGGGCTAAGTCAGAGACAACAGCTTTACTTGATAACCAGGAAAATGCCTGTGTAGGAAACATTTCACGTACATGATGAAAATATTTAGCCTCTGTGTTCAGGCAAAAATAGATAGATAGATAGATAGATATGCCTGGAGCTTTAAGTGAGCCAGGTTTTTCCAAAAGTTCACTTTGCGAAAAACTTGGAATGAAGGGAATCTGGATTCTGTGGCATAATTCCTGAGGAGGCAGCACAGTAATAAAGGCATTGACTCTGGAGAGAGTCAGAATTGGATTCAAATCCCAACTCATTATTCATTAGCTGCAGGTACTGGCCAAAGTGCCCAACTTATCTGAACCCGTATCTTGCAGAGTCGTCATAAGGACTGAGTTAGGCAAGGTATATAATAAAACACATGGCACGTACAGAATAAATGTTAGCTCAATAAATGCATCAGCATCCATCCTTCCTCCACGTCCCTTTCCATCTAAGTTTTCTTATAATTTAACATAGCTCCTAACATCTCGTGGTAATATTTTTGTAACTACTTTTCAGCTGTCCTGGAAATTGGTAGGCCATTTGAGGTTTCTTCCAGATAGCTCTATTGATCCATAGGGAAGAAGAGGTCCATTTTTTGGACTTTTTCTCAATTTTGGAAGATCCCTAAATATAATAGTATTTGTGCCAGGTGACGATTTCAATTTATAAAAATATACAGCTATTCTACTAAGTTTTTGCTGAATCCCAACAAAGACCCTGCTGTAGTATCTCATTGTTATAGAAAAGCATCACTGTGCTCAGCTCTGTACGAAGACAAACGCAACAACCAAAAATAGAGTTTATGCATTTCAAGAATTTTATTTCCTTAACAATGATCAAAAAAGTTTAACAATCTGCTTTAACTTTCCTTGTAGTGTATCCATGCTCATGTTGGAAGTAGGAAGTAACGCTCTTCCGGATGGTGTGTACAGAGCTCTACCACTCTTATTCAACATAGTACAAAAATGCAAGAGCAGATTTAGATTCATCAGTCACCTTTATTAGTGTTGAAATGACATAGAGTTAGCAAGAAAAGGACTATATAGAGCAATTATAATTGTCTCACACACTGAAAAGTCTAAGATAATACACTGATAATAATATACTGAAAAGTTACCATATTTAAATTGTTTCATTAATGACAGTAAAAGGAGAAGTACAGTGCTGAAAAAAGAGCACCTGAAATTATGAAATAATTGCAATAATAATGATAACAGTAATGATAATACACCACCAGCAGTAGCTCTCCTTTGTGGAAGATGGCTGTGTGCCAGATACTGTAACAGGCATTTTCCATATAACTTATTTCCTCTTCAATATAACTCTATACAATTATCCCTGTGTTACAGATTAGGAGATGAAGATAGCACAAGGTGAAGTACCCTGGTTCAAGGCCACACAGCTAGTTAGAGCACAGTGGTTTTTTGAATCATATTTGTTGGGTTTCAAAATTCATACTCTTTCCACTGGGCTTAGGAAAGGTAGTCATACAAGTAAATGTCCAAAAACTTGTCAGACCTGAAAAAACTCTGGAAGGTAAGCAAAGCACCATTACAAGCCATCGTGAATGTCTAAAACCTGAAACACATGCACAAGGCCACTGACGGTGAAATCAGAGTCAGAACAGCTAAATATCACAAAAGTAACAATAGCCATCTACCTGGAGTGTTGTTATAGGGGCATTCATAAACTGAAAAGTGTATTCAAGGATTTGACAAACTGAGTGCAGTTTGTTATAATGTGTTTGTTTGCAAATTAAACAAGTGCGTTTGCAAATTTAACAAGAGAGCTTACAATTTTTTTTCTTGTTCTAGACTTTTAAGTTTTATTTTTTCTTGAGGTTCTTACCAGAAGAGAAAAAAACTCACCAAGCACATAACTTTTCAAAAGTAAATAAAACAAAATTTTACTTTTATTTTATGAATTTAAAAGAATCCTTTAAAAATTTAGAGAGAAAGTTCATGGCAAAGCACAGAATACACACTGCAGAACTGTGTGAATTAAATCTAAAGGCAGAGGTCTCTGACATAAGGGTACAACTATAGTCCAGGTAAAACCCTTTCCTTTCTCAACTTGTTCGTTTGCAATTAAGATGACTGATTCTCTCAACCTCCCAAACTGCTGAACTAGAGTCTAACATATTGAATTCTCAATTAAAAAAAAATAAAATCATTATTGCACTTTTTTTTTTTCTCGTAGAAAGACTTCAATGTTTCTAAGCCCGAGATTTTACTTGGGTGTTTAAGAAAATTTTCATATGAAGTTATCAATCTTGAATTTGATCCACCTTTTTAAGAGAAAGAAAATCAGTTCTTTAAGGCCCGTAGAGCCACCACAGTGGTGCACTGAATTCTGGCAGCCTGAACAAATTAACTTGCTAAAGAAAGGCAGAAACAAAGTCCATATTCAGGTGTGAGATCAACTACAGAACAATTTATTTTGTCATCTATAATGAAATAATATACTTACCATAAAAAGTGAGGTACCCAAAGAGTGCAGATATAAAATAAATGAGAAAACTTAAAGCAATTGCTGTATTGGTTACATTCTGCATCCTTTTCTTAGAAGGTCTAAAAGAAAAAAAATGGTAAAATTAGAATCTGTGATCTGAATTATATCTAAATAGATAAATGTCTCCCAAGCTATTCAAAAGGATTCCTTAATCACTCAAGACCTAGTTCTCTAATAACTACACACTACAATTCTTGATTTGAAATTACTGCACAAAGGACTATGCTTCAAAGAAACATTCTCAACTTAGAACTAAGTCTTGGTTGTTTTGTTTTGTTTTAAACTAACACCTACAATCCAGTGGTGGGATGGAAGGATTCATAGAGGAGAATGTTATTCAATCTGAAAGTCCTAGAAGTAAAAAGACATACTAATACATTTTAAATATTCCAGGATTCTATAGTACCTTTGAAGTTCACAGTATATGGGCAATATTGAGGTGTGGCAGAGAAATGAAAAAGCCATGGTTGGTATGGCATAAGCACTCTGAAAAAAAATTTTTTTAAAGATGAAATTATTAAATGCTACTCTGTTGAAACCACTACTTCATTTGACAATAAAATCAGTTCTCAAAAAAAAAATCAATTTAGCTAAATTTCTTTCATGTTTCATGAATCACCTGTTTATAAAATAAGAGGGTTTTTTTTGGTTTTTTGTTTTTAACGAGACACACAATTATGGTCCCCAGTAAATATTTTACTTGATAGCTGTATTGCCCACACTAGCTAAAATATTTCTTGGCTGCTTCCACACCAGGTTGGTTTTAGTACAATCACTGCTGCTTCTATATTGTATCAGTAAGATAAAAATAATTAAGGTAAGATAAATAACATTTAGGTAAGATGAAAAATAATAACATTTTAGAAATGATCTTATTGTAATTATCAGTCTTTCCTAATGCATGTATCAGGAAACTCAAAAACATCTTATTACCCTAAGCAGCAATAATAGTTAATGCTTTTGAACCTGCTTTCACCAACTCAATTCAAGTACCAACTTAATCTAAGAGAATACTGAATATATTAATCACATCTTAGCATCTATAACTAAGGTCTCTTTTGATGGGAATGAACATGATTTATTCTAGACCAACAAATTCATAGAGATCCACTGGAATATATGAACAAAATTGTTGTTTTTTTAAAATTAGAATAGTTAAGAACCAGAGAAAGTTACAAAGCAAACAAAAGTTACCATCTAAATGAAAACACTGTCTTTACAAAATAGATGGTAATGATTTACTTTCTCTTTTCTACTCTAAAAAAATTTCTCCTTAACTAACTTAAGGCTCTTCAGCAAAAGAAGCTCCAGATGACTGTAGATCTATCTTCAGACACAAGGCCTCTTAAAATATCAGAGGAGAGCTGGCAGGAAGGAAAGCTGTAGCATTTCCCAAGGCTAGATTAAGAGAATGAAATTCAATTCACAAATTCTCTTTCATATACTGCTCAGTTTCCTGGCTTGTCAATTACCCTACCTAAATCTTTAAGGCACGTGGAGGCCTTTACCATGTAAAAGATGTGGTAACCTCCCTTGTGGGGCCAGAGAGACATTTCTCATTTAAAAACTGGGGAATAAGGGGGTTCCCTGGTGGCCTAGTGGTTAGGATTCCAGGCTTTCATTGCTGTGGCCCGGGGTTCAATCCCTGATTGGGGAACTGAGATCCCATAAGCTGCAAGGCACGGCCAAAAACAAAACAAAACAAAACAACAATGGAAAAGAACTCTGGGGAATAAAAAGGAAAATTTTGCATGGGGAGGTTATCACAGTAAAATGCTACACTAATAGAGTTATACATGAGTAGTGGGGATTCTAGTATCTGGGACCTGCATTTTAGCAGAATCACAAAGTGTACATGAAGAAACCTGCAGCAACAAGGAACATACGGCTCTTTTAGAATGGTAAAGTAGAGATCATTCAGATCAGTTTCCTGTCTCCTCTGCTGATGCTCAGGGGCTTTTGCAGGCATTTCAAATATCCTAGCTCTCTCAGAGAAGGCAAGGGGGGACTTGGTCCTTCTGCCTCTGCTACAGGCATCATAAATTTCAACTTTGGAATGTCAGCCAGAAGACATATTGGCAGTGCTCAATTGCTGGTCCAATGATGAGGCTGTTTAGCCACAGACCAAGATTCTACTCACAGGGGAGGAGTTTTTGATATAATTGGCTATTTCGCTTTACAAGTCCAGAGGGCAACAGGAAGTCTGTATGCACAGAGGACCTTATTGGCCAGACCAGACATTCAGTAAATCTGTTCTTTTAGGCAGTGGCCCATTTAAAACAGGCTCCATTTAAAGGCGTGCCAAAAAAAAGGTGGCCATTTCATAATGGGCCACCTTCTGGTAAGCAACCCTATACTTAGCACTTTCATGAAAATTAGTTAGTTACAGGTAAAAGACCTAAGAGACCCTGTTACACAAACCTCTTAAACTTGAAATGTGAAAAAACTAAAAGTATCTGTTAATAACTTACACACCTCTTTGGAGAAATGAAAGAGCTTTGGTTTACAAGCATCTGTAGCATTTGAAATCTGTTTAAGAGGATTGAGGGGAAAGAGAGAAACCAACAGTCATTAAAAGTTAGAATACATCAAAAAACCAAGATGAATTTATTATTACTGGGCTTTCAAATAAAAATATTTCAAAACAAAGTTCCAAAGTGCAATATAGCCATTACTTTTTTATTAATTAGGAAAAAAACATTATTAGTCATATTTTATTTTTCTTTTTAGCTTAAAATAAAAAGGAAAAAACTGAAAAAAAAGCCAAACAAAACAATTACGTGGAAGTATTGCTCTACAGAATTTAATGTCAGAGGACAAGGGATGGACCATTTTTTGATTATTATCTGTAAGAATAAGTAGGATCAGATGATTTCTTACCAAATTCATGACAAGAAATTGATTTTAAATAGGTCAGTATCATTTCAATTAATCTAACACCATACCAAATAATATGCTAACTAATAAAAGATTCTTTGTTCATGTCATTTTCCCTAGATAGGATGGGGCCATCATCTGACACGGGCACCTACGGTGTGGGACAGCATGAGGGGCTGCATAGTTGTTTGGTGGAGATCTCCCCCACTGAAGACTGAGAGCTTTCAAAACTCCAATAGTATCAAGGCATTAAAAGAAAATCCAACTCAGAATGGGAACATGATGTTTTTAGTGACAATAGTACAAGAATATGGCCATCTGTGGACCTGGCATCAGTAGCAGACAGAGAAATATTAATAGCAGTTTTGGAAATGGTCACAGGTAGATGCAAAGGGGGAGGCTCAGGGATTTCTGATGCATGAGCACTGGCCCTCCTTGCTTTTTTCAAACTTACATCACTTTTGGTGAATGTGGATGAAGCTGGCAAAGGATAAGAGCACAAAGCTAAGGAACTAGAGCTGGTAAAAATGAATTTTTTAAAAAATTAAAAGAAATCCAGAGGGCTGCTATTTCCCAGAAACAATCAATGAAAATGTTTCGGGATTTTACTCTTAATTGTGGCCATCCTGTTCCTAGACCTACAGTTGAGTTGGTCAACATTACCACTGTTGTAGTTGTTTCAGGGCACATAATTACTCTGTAAATACTTGCTCTAGGCTGAAACCCAGCATTCAAAAGGGCAAGGGAGAATAAAGGAAGCATCTGTCCTTTGCAGAAGGCCTGTAAGTAAATATTATACTATTCCTATTTGGTATTTATCTAGTTTTAGATTTTAACTAATTCAATCAAAATTTTACATAGTGATAAACCCAAGGAAAACATACACTTTTAGGATTAAATTAATGAGTCAACTAAAAAATTACTCTTATTTAAAACCCTCACCAAGAGAAAAAAAAAAACTGTAAGGGTAAACTGGGCAAGTTGCTTTGATATTTCTAGGTAAGTTTTCAATACAGAATAAACTAAATGGTCAACTTACCAAAAAGAAAGAAAAAAAATCAAAAGCAATAATCTCACCATTTTTTTTTTCTGATATGTTTGCCCAAAAAGGATGAGGATGGGGTGGGGTAGAAACAAAGTTGTTACTGGTCTCTCTGTTCAGCCCTGCTCCAAATTCAGCATCTCACATTTCCCCCTGACTAACAGTGGAGGCGGCAGCAGCAACAACCATTTACATTGTGTACCAGGTAGTTTGATAACGTCGGTATGTGAGCTACCTCATTTTATCAGCTGTTATTACAAGACTTGCAAACCCAAATATTTCAAAACAGTGCTCCAAAATGCAAGAAAATGATTATTTTTTCATTAATCAGAAAATATCATTAGAGGCCTGATTTTATATTAACATAAAATTCAGTTACTACAGCTAATTTCTCTGCAGAGACCCATCTCAAGCCCAAGTGACGTCCTATAAAGCAGAAGTACAGAACAGGAATGCAAGATACCTGACAACAAAGGGTAACAGGGAGTCCTTGCTCAAGTTGAAGGCAGAACACAGTAAGAAGATAAACTCAGGGGTTAGAAAGAAAGACAAAGGGAAATAGAAGATTAAGCATTAAAAATACTTGTTCACTTGCACAGGAGGCCCTTCCCTCTTCTCTCTGCTCCAAGTAATTCCCATCTTTCAAGGCTCAGCTCAAGTTTTATTTCCTTCCACATCTTTCTTTATTCTACCTATTGGTGATCCTTCTCTCCTCTCAGCTCTTATGTAATCCCTATTATGAAGCAAATAAATCAATACTTAACTATGTATTGACTACATTGTTCTCTATTTTTTTTCTGATAAATTTATCTTATTTCCCTGACTAGAATGGCAGATCCTTAAGAGTAGTGTCCTGATTAATCCCCCACAACTCTAATGCCTACCATAGTGCTCAGCAGAAGGAAATCCAAATCTAACCAAAATCGATTCAAATAGTTCTCTATTTTCATTACTGACTTATTAAAATATTACTTCAAATATTAGTATTAGAATACTAACCTGTACTCAAGACAGAACTTTTAGAAAGAACAGAAATTCATTTTTGTTCAAAAATGGACCAAAAAAGGTACCGTCATGCTGAGCCACTGCTAAAATAAAATTTATTTTTAAAATTTTAGGTGTTTCAGCAGGGCCAAAAATTTATGTCAAAAACTTTTAACCAAAATAAGGATCTGGGACAATAGAAAAGAGTATAGGTTTTGATTTGTGCTGTTTGGAGAGTATAATTTAAGAAAATAATAGTTTTCTGGACAGATTTTTAAAAATGTAATATAAATGCTATACAGATTTATGGATACAAACATACTGAAAAAAATAATCAGTGAAAAAAGGTGCAATGGAAAAAAAATTGGAATCCATCAAAAAAAATTGGGGTTAATATATACATGTTTTCCTTAACCACTGTGTATTTTTAAACCTAATACTTAGAAAGTCTAAAGTAAATTCAGGCATACCTCATTTTATTGTGCTTTACTTTATTGCACTTCACAGATACTGTGTTTTTTAATGGATTGAAGGTTTGGGGCAGCCCTGCATTGAGCAAGGTTATGGGCACAATTTTCCCAAGAGCATTTGCTCACTTCGTGTCTCTGTGTCACATTTTGGTAATTCTCAAAATATTTCAAACTTTTTCATTACTATCATATTTGTTATAGTGACTGATGATCTGTGATCCGTGATCTTTGAGGTAACTACTGTAATTATTTTGGGGTGCCATGAACTATGCCCATATAAGAGGGCGAACTTAATTCATAGATGCTGTGTGTGCTCTGACTGCTCCACTAACAGGCAGTTCTCGTCTCTCTCCCTCTCCTCAGGCCTCCCTATTCCCTGAGACACAACAATATTGAAATTAGGCCAATTTATAACCCTACAATGGCCTCTAATGGTTCAATAGAAAGGAAGAGTTGCAAATCTCTCACTTTAGATCAAAAGCTAGAAATGATTCAGCTCAGTGAGGAAGGCATGTTGAAAATTGAGATAAGCTAAGAGCTAGCCCTCTTGTACCAGACTGTTAGCCAAGTTGTGGATGCAAAGGAAAAGTTCCTGAAGGAAATGAAAAGTGCTACTCCAGTGAACACACAAATGATAAAAAAAGGTGAAACAGCCTTACTGCTGATATGGAGAAAGTTTTAATGATCTGGATAGAAAATCAAACCAGCCACAACATTCCCTTAAGCCAAAGCCAAATCCAGAGCAAGGCCCTAGCTCTCTTCAATTCTATGAAGACTGAGAGAGGTGAGGAAGTTGCAGAAGAAAAGTCTGAAGCTAGCAGATGTTGGTTCATGAGGTTCAAGGAAAGAAGCCGTCTCCATAACACAGAAGTGCAAGGTGAAGCAGCAAGTGCTCATGTAGAAGCTGCAGCAAGTTATCCAGAAGTTCTAGCAATGATCATTAACGAAGGTGACTACACTAAACAACAGATTTCCAATACAGACCAAACAGCCTTCTACTGGAAGAAGATGCCATTTAGGACTTTCATAGCTAGAGGAGAAGCCAATGCCAGGTTTCAAAGCTTCAAAGGATAGCCTGACTCTCTTGTTAGGGGCTAATGCAGCTGGTGACTTTCAGCTGAATACAGTGCTAATTTACCATTCCCCAAATCCTAGGACCCTTAAGAATTATGCTAAATCTACTCTGCCTGTGCTCTATAAATGGAACAACAAAGCCTTGATGACAACACATCTGTTTATTATTTTAAGCCCACTGTTGAGAACTACTGCTCAGAAAAAAAGATTCCTTTCAAAATACTATTGCTTGGGGACTTCCCTGGTGGTCCAGTGGTAAAGAATCCACCTTCCAATGCAGGGGATGCAGGTTTGATCCCTGGTCAAGGAACTAGGTTCCCACATGCCACATGGAGCACCTAAGCCCACGCGCCACAACTACTGAGCTTGCGTGCCTCAACTAGGGAGCCCATGTGCCGCAAACTACAGAGCCCATGTGCCCTGGAACCTGCTCATTGGCAATGCACCTGGTTACCCTAGAGCTCTGATGGAGATGTGCAACAAGATTCATGTTGTTTTCATGCCTCCTAACACAACATCCATTCTGCAGCCCATGGACTGAGGGGTAATATTGACTTTCAAGTCTTATTCTTTAAGAAACAATTGCATAAGGCTATAGCTGCTGGAGATGGTGATTCCTCTGATGGAGCTGAACAAAGTAAACTGCAAACCATCTGGAAAGGATTCATCATTCTAGATGCCATTAAGTGCATATTTGATTCATGGGAAGAGATCAAAATATCAACATTAACAGAAGTTTGGAAGAAGTTGATTCCAACTCTCATGGATGACTTTGAGGGGTTCAACACTTCAGTGGAGGAAGTCACTACAGATGTGGTGGAAAGAGCAAGAGAACTAGAATTAGAAGTGGAGCCTGAAGATGTGACTGAACTGCTGCAATCTCATGACAAAACTTGAATGGGTCCAGAGTTGCTTTTTATGGATGAGCAAAGAAAGTGGTTTCTTGAGATGGAATCTACTCCTGGTGAAGATGCTGTGAAGATTGTTGAGATGAATACAAAGGATTTAAAATATTACATAAACTTAATTGGTGAAGCAGTGGCAGGGTTTGAAAAGATTGACTCCAATTTTGAAAGAAGTTCTACTGTGGGTAAAGTGCTATCAAGCAGCATTGCATGCTGCAGGAAATCATTCATGAAAGGAAGGGCCAATCGATGCAGCAATCTTCACTGTTGTCTTATTTTAAGAAATTGTCACAGCCTCCCCAACCTTTAGCAACCACCACCCTGATCAGTCAGCAGCCGTCAACATCAAGGTAAGACCTTCCACTAGCAAAAAAGATTACAACTCACTGAAGGCTCAGATGATGATTGGCATTTTTTAGCAATTGTTTTCTTTTACATTATAGGTTATTGCAAGGTATTGAATATAGTTCCCTGTGCCATACAGTAGGTCCTTGTCATTTACCTATTTTATATATAGTATGTATATCTGTTAATCTCAAACTCCTAATTTATCCCTCCCCCTTTCCCTTTGGTAATCATAAGTTTGTTTTCTATGTCTGTGAGTCTGTTTCTATTTTGTAAATAAGTTTATTTGTGTCATTTTTTTTTTAGATTTCACATGTAAGTGATATCATATGATCTTTGTCTTTCTCTGTCTGACTTACTTCACTTAGTATGTTAATCTCTAGGTCTATCCATGTTGCTGCAAATGGCATTATTTCATTCTTTCTACGTCTGAGTAAGCAATAAAGTATTTTTAAATTAAGGTATGTACATTGTTTTCTTAGACATAATGCTATTGTACACTTAATAGTTTACAGTATAGGGTAAACATAACTTTTATATGCACTGGGAAACCAAAAACTTTGTGTCACTCGCTTTATTACAATACTAGGTTTATTGCAGTGGTCTGGGACAAAACCCGCAATATCTCTGAGGTATGCCTATATGCCAATTAAAAAGAGACTTAAGAAGAAAGTATACAGTGTCTTCACTGTCCCATTGTAGACCAAATTTAAATTGTGCTCCTAGGTAAAATCTGAGCAGACGGTTTGTAAAGCATAATAAATGCAGAATAAGGGTATTATTTCCATATGACAGCTACAGTAGGAATCTGCATCAAATTAAAGAGTATCTGCCATGACAGAAATGAAAACTGTGAAAACTACAATAGACATGTTGTATCAATACATTTTACCTGCTTCAAATTATTGGCTATAAAAACCAAATTACTCCTAACTATACAATGCTTGTGTGGTCAATTATCTGTGAGGAAAATATTCAATGTGTGTACACTGATTCTCTTTAATATCCATATGTTAATTTGCAAATATAGGCCACTCTAAACCATGTAGATGCTTCTCAACAATCAAACTGTGATGAAATTATTTGTTGTTCCCCTCTTAATGTGGCACCTAAAAAGTGTGTTTATGGATGTTAAGTAAACTTATTGTGGTAATCATCTCGCAATATATGTAAGTCGTCATTATGCTGCACACCTTAAACTTATGCAGCGCTGTAAGTTTATATCTTTATAATGTCAATTATATCTCAATAAAATAGAAAAAAATCTTAAAAAAAGAAGTGTATGTTCCGGCTTCCCTGGTGGCGCAGTGGTTAAGAATCTGCCTGCCAACTCAGGGGACATGGGCTTGAGCCCTGGTCCGGGAAGATCCCACATGCCGTGGAGCAACTAAGCCCATGTGCCACAACTACTGAGCCTGTGCTCTAGAGCCCGCAAGACACAACTACTGAGCTCACACGCTACAACTACTGAAGCCCATGCTCCTAGAGCCCGTCCCGTGCTTGGCAACAAGAGAAGCCACCACAACGAAGAGTAGCCCCTGCTCACCGCAACTAGAGAAAGCCTGCACGCAGCAATGAAGACCCAATGCGGCCAAAAAATAAAATAAATAAATAAGACCAGTAGGATATTAGAAATGAAAAAAAGAATTATTAGCAATGGATTATTTATTTTAAAAAGTGTATGTTCAATTCACTTACTTGTAAGGTACAAGTTGGGCAATTTTTGCGGGGGAGGGCAATGATTTTAATGTTGATAAATTCAACAAATGATTAAATGTAAGCACTGTTAAGTATTTTTAGTTTTAAGAGCATTCATTAAAGTATAAATATTTCTGTACACTGAAACCAGGGTCACTTTCACTTCATTTAAATAATCTAAAGTTGTTTTATCCTTGTATCCCAGCAGATAGTTTAGCCTAAGCTAAATGCATCCTAAATGTTTTGACAGCTTGGAAATCTGGTTCTGTTACATGGTTTAACTAATGATGTGTTGTCTTGCTCTTTTGGATGGCATTTTTCTTTCATTCATTTCTCAATAACAAAGGAGAATTTACATAAGCTTATGATTTTAAGAGCTTAATCAAGCCATTTAGGTATGTATCTTGGCAAGTTTAAAATGTTTAATCCTACTTAAGGTTTGACAGACTGACTATGGAATAAACTGCTAAGCAAAAAGAAAAAGGATTTTTTTTCCAAAATTTCACACAAAAATACAGTCTTCGGAATGTTAAAATCTGTTTTAGAAGAATTTAAAAGAAATAAGAAATTCAAATTCTCTTTTATCTTTTTTAAAAAATTCTCTTATCTTTATATTAAATTATTTAATAAATATTAGAATAAAGTTTACCATCTGAGAGATATTTTTCCTACGTTATAACAAAAATGGGCTAATTTTAAAAAACATTCCACATGTGAAAAAAAAAATTTCTTTGCAGCAGGCTTTTCATGAGAGCTTAACCACGCTGAATAAACCAGACCAGATAGAATTCAGGCACTCCAATTCTTACTAGATCTCATCAACAGTTAAGCCCCTGAAGCTATGGTTTCGTTAATGGAACAAAGTTTCAAAAATTAAGATGACTAGGACCAAATTGATTTTACGGATTAGAACCAGCCTGATTCTCATGCTTGAGTATCCCCCAAAACATACACACACAATATTGTACAGAAATACATGGATACATACACCTAGCCAAAGAATTATACTCCATCTAAGGTTTTAACAGAATTGGTATGCTCTCCTCTCTAGTTAACCAGAAGAGAAACTGAATTTGAAATGCTATTCTAGCTAAGCCTCTTCAAAATAGATACAATGAAGGAAACAGTTTGCAGAATAAAAGTGCTTTTAATAACACGTTGAAATAAAATGGGATACCTTCCCAACAAAAAACAGAGTTAAGAGAAAAAAGACATTAACACAATGAGTTCAATTTTAGTGAGGAGATAAGCAATACACTATATTTTAAACTTACCACAAGAGCAAAGAACACCATAAAGAAAAATGATAAACTACTTGTGTAGCCAAGAAAGCCTGTAAAATAACAGTAAAATAAAAAGCAATTTATAAGGAAAGTGATCCTAACGTGCAGCTAAAGCTATACATCTTGGGCATGTTTTTTATTACAGTGCTTGGTATCTGGGGCTTAGGGCTGAGAATAACAACATTCCAACTATCTGTCACAGATCATTTATGTAGCTCTGTACAGCAGAATTGGAACTGGCTTACCACTAATGGTACACTGTAAGGAAAGGCTGCTCTTTAATGTTCCGTTGTAAAGGTTTTATTTTAGTGGGGCAGACAAAACACTACTGCAAACCAAGTAATAGGTTAACTAGGCAGGGCTGAAAGCTGAACAACCTAAAAGTCCAAGTTCAAAATTATTCACAACCACCTTCTGCTAAAAATGTGGTACTATGAAATTTAAAAGCCCCTTAATAGTATTTTCTTTCTTTCTTTTTCTTTTCTTCTAAACAAATAATGTCCTCTTCTATAAAGACTTACCTATCTTAGGAAGAAGTGCAAGAGGGAACACAATGGCAACACAGATGATTATTAGCAGTGTTTCTCCATCAAGATACCAAGACCTATTAGGAAAAAAAGTTCTATTTTAGGCACAGGACTTCAGTGTTTGTGTTTACACACACACACACACACACACACACACTCATACAGTATAACCATGACAACCACCCATTAGGAAAAGCCTACTTCTTTTTGTTAAAATATGTTCTTGTGGGATCCTATTATTCTTGTTAATGAATTCACATTTAAAAATGTATCAAAACAATGAGATGCCATTTTTCAACTACCAAATTAGCAAATATTTTAAAGTAAGATAATAGACAATGTGAGTGAAGAGTGATGAGATGTACACAAAACTAGTAAAAGTATAAACTGTGTAAATTACCTTTCTGGGAAGCAGTTTGGCAATAGATACTGAGAGCCTTAAAATATTTGACACTTAACAAATGACTATTAAAAATAGAAAACAATCATCAATAAGAACATTTTTGTAAAAAGATGTTTACTGAAAACATTTAAAATAATGAAAATCGGAAACAAACATCTAAGACCATGACAATTTTAAAATAAATTATGAGACTATCAGACAATCATAAAAAAAATTTTATAAGTATAATAATATACTGAATATATCATAAATATATTTAGTATGATAACAAGTTTGAGGGAAAATATAGATTCATTAAAAATGGAAAGGAACTGCAATATATTGATAGCCATTATCCCTGGGTGGTAGAATGATGGGTACTTTTTCTTCTTTATAGTTTTCCATATTTTTCAAATTTTCAGGAAAGGGCATGAACTACCAGGAGAAAACATATGACATTTTTCATATAAAGGCAATAGAATAATGAATGAGAAAAGGTAGATTAAAAGTGTGATAGTGTATTTGATTATTTAAAAAAAAATGGATGCACATTTTAAAAAAGTCAGAAAGATATACTTAAAATACCAAAAGTGGATATTTCTATGTAGCAGCATCGAGAAATTTTTATTTTATTTACTGGTTGCATATACACGGTTTTAATTTTTCAATATAAAAATACATGTGTTGAAGTTTTTAAAAATTAGACAATTCCCCCAAGACTTTAATAGTAAAGACTTTGCTTTAGTACATAAAAATTAAACAATTCATGAAAGAAGTACAACTAGTAAACACACATGAAGAAAAACCCAATCTCTGGTGCTAATTAAAGAAATAAATAATAAGGCTATAGAAATTAAATGAGTAAAAATATTAAAAAAATAATATTCAAGGATGTGGAATAATTGGTCCTTCACACATTGCTAGTGATCTTGTCAATTAGCATTATCTTTTGGAAAAACCTTGATAATATGTACAAAGGACAATAAAAATGTGGAAATCTACTCTAAGAGAATAATCTAAAATATAAAGAATTCTATGTGCATGAAGCTGTGACTACAACATTATTATAATATTAGAAAGTTGAGGGAAAATCCTATATATCTAACAATAGAAAATGCTTATGTCAAAAACAGCACACTCTTTTTAAAAAAAATTTTACTGGATATATGTACATGTATAACTGATTCATTTTGCTGTACACCTGAAACTAACACATTGTAAATCAACTATAATCCAATAAAATTTTTTTAAAAAAAGCACACTCAATGGAATGTTAAGCAGCTTTTGAAAAAAACATTTAGTAAAATAGAAAATACTAATGATAGAAATACAAAATAAATATTATTAACTATGTTTGAAAATGCTTTTTGGGAAAAATTCAAAGGAAATAAAATAATAACAGTGATTAGGTAATTGCATAATTTTTATTTGCTTTCTCTTCTAAATTTTCTGCAATGTAGCTGTCATATTTTTACACTGAAACATATGCATATATACACATGCACAATGGTAACAAAGTAAAATTCATGCTAATATGAGAGCTGGGAGCATCAAAGACAATAGGTATTACTTTTTCAAGTCATTTGGTAGATGCTCTCAGAATTTCCAATTGGCTATAATGTATCCTTTCACTACCAGAGAGCCAAAGTCTCCCACTGCCTGTTAAATTAAGAAAATGGACAGGACAAATTCCTAGAAATGTACAATATACCAAGACTGAATCAGGAAGAACTAAAAAATACGAACAGACCAATAATGAGTAAGAACACTGAATCAGTAATCAAAAATCCACCAACAAAGAAAAGCCCAGGACCCATGGTTTTATTGGTGAATTCTACCAAACATTTCAAGAAAAATTAATGCCACTACTTCTCAAACTCTTCCCCAAAATTGGAGTGGAGCAAAAACTCCCAAACTCATTTTATGAGGCCAGCATACCCTACTATCAAAGCCACATAAGGACATTGCAAAAGAAACAAAACTACAGACCAATAATCCTGGTGAATATATTATAAAAATTCTCAACAAAATATTAGCAAACTGAATTCAACAGCACATTAAAAGGATCATACACTATGGTCAAGTGAGATTTATCCATGGGATGCAAGGGTGGATCAACATATGAAAATCAATCAACATGATATAGCACATTAATAGAATGAAAGATAAAAATCATATGATCATCTCAATAGCTGCAAAAAAAAGCATGTGACAAAATACAATATCCCTTGATGATAAAAACCTTCAACAAAGTTGATATAGAGGGAACAAATCTCAATATAATAAAGGCTATAGGTTGAAGGCTTCTTCTCTAAGATCAGGAACAAGACCGGGGTGCCTACTCTTACCACTCTTATTCAACATAGTTGGATAGTTATTCCACTGTTATTCAACATGGAAGTCCTAGCTAGAGCAATCAGGCAAGAGAAAGAAATAAATGGCATACAAATTGGAAAAGAAGTAAATCTGTCTTTATTTGTGGATATGATCTTATATATAGAAAATCCTGAAAACTGCAACCAAAAAACTGTTAGAGCTAATCAACAAATTATGTAAAGTTGAAGGATACAAAATCAACATGCAGAAATCAGTTGTGTTTTTATAAACTAACAAAGAAATATCTGAAAAAGAAATAAAGAAAACAATCCCATTCACAATAGCATGAAAGCAATAAAACTTATGACTATTTAACAAAGGAAGTGAAAGATTAGTACACTGAAAACTATAAGGCTTAACTGAAAGAAACTGAAGACACAGACAAATGGAAAGATATCCAGTCTGTGTTCATGGATCAGAAGAATCAATAGTGTTAAAATGTCCATACTATCCAAAGCTATCAATAGAGTCAATGCAATCGCTATCAAATTCCAATGACATTATTTCCCAAAATAGAACAATCCTAAAATTTGTATGGAACCACAAAAGACTCCAAATAGCCAAAGCAATCCTGAGAAAGAAAACACAGCTGACTTCAAACTATATTACAAAGCTTTAGTAATCAAAACAATATAGTACTGGCATAAAAATAGACACACAGACCAACAGAACAGACTAGAGAGCCTAGGAATATCCCCTCCCCACCCCATATACTGTCAACTAATATTCAACAAAGGATCCAAGAATATTCAGTGGGGAAAGAAGTCTTTTCAATAAATTGTACTGGGAAAATTGGATAGCCATATACAGAAAAATGAAATCTATCTTACAGCATTCACAAAAATTAACTTGAGATAGATTAAAGACTTAAATGTAAGACCTGAAACTATAAAACTTATAGAAGAAAACACAAGGAAAAAGCTTCTTGACATTGGTCGTGGCAACAGTTTTTTTTTTAATACGACACCAAAAGCACAAGCAACAAAAGCAAAAATGAAAGGAACTATATCAAAATAAAAAGCTTCTGTACAGCAAAAGAAACAATCAACAAAATGAAAAGGCAATCTACGGAATGGAAGAAAATATTTCCAAATCATATATCTGATAAGAGACTAATACTCAAAATACATAAAGAACTCACACAGTTCAATAGCAAAAAATCAAACAATCCAATTTTAAAATGGGCAGAGGAAATAGACATTTTTTTTCTCCAAAGAAGATATATGAATGGCCAATAGGTATGTGAAAAGATGATCAACATCTCTAATCATCAGGGAAATACAAATCAAAAGCACAATGAAATATCACCTCACACCTGTTAGTATAGGTATCATCAAAAAGACAAGAGAGGGACTTCCCTGGCAGTCCAGTGGTTAAGTCTTCGCCTTCTAATGTAGGGAGTGCAGGTTCGATCCCTGGTCAGGGAGCTAAGATCCCAAATGCCTCGCGGCCAAAAAATCAAAATATAAAACAGAAGCAATATTGTAACAAATTCAATAAAGACTTTAAAAATGATCCACATCAAAAAAAAATCTTAAAAAAAAAAGACAAGAGATAACAAGTATTGACAAGGATATGGAGAAAAGGGAAGACTTGTGCACTGTTGGTGGGAATGTGAATTGGTTCAGTCACTGTGGAAGACCGTATGTTGGTTCCTCAAAAAATTAAAAACAGAACTACCATATGATTGGTCCAACAATCCCACTTCTGGGCATACATCTAAAGGAAATTAAAACAGGATATCAAGAAGATATCTGTACTCCCATGTTTATTGCAGCATTATTCACAATAGCCAAGATATGGAAACAACCTAAGTGTCTATCAATGGATGAATCGATAAAGAAGATGTGGTGCACACACGCACACACGATGGAATATTATTCAGTCATGAGAAAGAAAGAAATTTTGCCATTTGTGATAACATCAATAGACCAACGTGAGCATTATGCTAAGTGAGATAAGTCAGACAGAAAAAGACAAATACTGTGTATCACATATTTCTGGAATCTAAAAAAGCTGAACTTGTAGAAACAGAGTAGAATGGTGGTTAGCAGGGGCTGGTGGGTAGGGGGACTGAGGAGATGTTGATCAAATGGTACAGACTTGCAGGTAGAGGATGAATAAGTTCTGGGAATCTAATGCAAAGCAACGTGATTATAGTTAACATAACTATTTTATATACTTGGAAGTTGCTAAGAGACTGGATGTTAAATGTTCTCACTACAGAAATGATAAGTACATAAGGTAATGGAGGTATTAGCTAACACTGCAGTGGTAATCATACCACAGTATATAAGTGTATCAAATCTACATGTTGGA